TTGCTCACCTGCCGCGGCCCCTCCCTGCCTTTCGTTTCCCCCTCCCCCCTCCCCGTCCCCCTAGCGCCACTGCTTCAAGGAGGTCCCCTCACTGGCCAATCTGATGCCATCGGACTACTTCGTCTGCGCCATCGACGATGATACATCGGTCCCCCTGCGCGTGGAGTTCACCCGGTTCCTGCGGTCGTCGCCTCTGCTGCAGAAGGCCCACGACGCTGGGGTCCCACTGGAGTTCAGCATCGAGCCGGCCGCCTCGGTCCTGGCCAACCCCAGCCTCTTCCAGTCGCCTGGCGGGACTCCCAACCGCCGGCTCACTCCGGCGGCTCTTTCTCCCATCTCCTCGACGCCCGAGCTCCCCTCGCCGGCACCGGTCGCCGAGCCGGAGCCCGCCACTGTCGTCGAGCCCGCCGCCGAGCCGGAGCCCGCCACTGTCGTCGAGCCCGCCGCCGAGCCGGAGCCCGCCGCCGAGCCGGAGCCCGCCGCTGCCGTTACCACCCCCACCGAGCCCACCCCCACTCCTGCTTCGGAGCCGCTCGCCTCGGCAACGGCCACAGCCCCGACGGCAGCGACCACGGCTCCTGAGCCGGCCCCGGCCTCGGAGCCGGCCCCCATCGTCACCACCCCCACCGCCGACCAGCCGCCGGCCAAGGGCCCCACCCCCGAGACCCCGTCGCCCCCCTCCCCGGAGCCGGAGCTCGACTATGCCCAGATGATCATGGACTCCTTCGCGTCGCTGATCTTCAGCCCCACCACCGCCGAGGCCGGCATCGAGCTGGCCTCGGTCGATTCCGACTCCGAGGGCGAGCCCATCGCCTCGCCCACCAGCTCCGAGGCCCTGGACAGCCCGGACCTGGCCCTCATGCCGCCTCCGGCCCCGCAGGTCACCATTACCATGGCCTCGCCCACCAATGACGAGCCCCAGGACAAGGAGGCCGCCCCGACCGTCGGCGAGGTGGCCGGACCGGTGGACTCCCCGGAGCCGGTGGTCGTGCGCGCCCCGTCGTCGGCCATCGCCCCGGCCGCTTCCACTTCGGATTTGGTGGGCCTCCCCTCGGGCAGCCTTTCCGATTTGGAAGGCTCCCACTCGCGGCTGAACCACCTGTCCGATGGGGCCTCGCCATCCGGGTCCAGTGCCGGTGGGTCGCCGGCCCCGGGGGCAGCCGGCCCCGGGGGCGCGGCCGATCTCCGCCGCAGCCGCAGCATGGTCGGCCGGCGCCTGCGCCAGTCCATGGCCGCTGTGGGGGATGTGCTGGCCCTGCCGACGTCGGCCCCGCCCTCGGCCCCGCCGTCCAATGCCGCGGCCGTTCTCCTGGCCGACACGTATGCCACCTCGGTCATGCGCCAGGCCCGGGTGTTCCCGGTCAATCCGCTGGACCCCACGGCCCAGGCGTGCTTCTTCACGCCCTTCTTCTCGCCGCCCCCGCCGCCGACCATGTCCGCCGAGCAGTTCGACGGCCAGGCGTCCGATGCCGCGCGCCTGCGCAGCAAGAGCAGCAACTCCATCGACCGTGCGTTTGTGGGTCCCCTTTTTGGGGCAGTGTCGCTGTCATCACTTGCTTGGGGTGGTCGGTTGGTCGGTCGTGTATAATGTTTTTGCGCCCCCTTTCCCTCCTGTCTCCTGGGACTGACTTTTCCTCGCCCTGGCGCACCGGTGCTTCTCGCCTCTCTCTCTCTCTTCTTCGCTCTCTCTTCCTCTCTCTTCGCTCTCTTCCTCTCTCTTCCTCTCTCTTCCTCTCTCTTCGCTCTCTCCCCCTCCCTCTCCTCCTCTCTCCCCCTCCCTCTCCCCCTCCCTTTCCCCCTTCCTGCTCATCGCCCGGACACACCGCAGAGGAGGACGATTTCGATTCATCTTCAGCCTACGAAAGCTGCGACGAGGACACAGGGTCCAACAAGTTCCGCAGCAAGACCAAGCAGCGCCTCCGCCGGACCCGCTCGCAGCTGGTCAGCATGATGGGCTACAACCATTCGCGCAGCTCGTCGGAGTTCGAGGGCGGCATCGGGCCCGATGGGGCGCTCATGTCGCCGGGGCGCATGTTCGACAATGCCGCCCTGGCCGAGCAGTCGCTCCCCGAGCGTGTGCTCTTCCGATCTAACAAGTTCCGCAGCAAGACCAAGCAGCGCCTCCGCCGGACCCGCTCGCAGCTGGTCAGCATGATGGGCTACAACCATTCGCGCAGCTCGTCGGAGTTCGAGGGCGGCATCGGGCCCGATGGGGCGCTCATGTCGCCGGGGCGCATGTTCGACAATGCCGCCCTGGCCGAGCAGTCGCTCCCCGAGCCGCGGCCATTCATCTTCGGCACCCGGACCCTGACCATCAATGAGCCGCCCCCGGCCGGGTATGTCCACCCGGCGGCCGACCTGCAAGTGGCCTCCCAGCATGTGGCCTACCGCGAGGGCTGGGTCCTGCAGCGCCCGCTGCCAGCCGAGCTGGTCGGTGTCCCGGCCCCGGGGGCCGACATGGATCTCGGTGTCAAGGGGGGCCTTCCTGCCGGCGCGACGCTGTCCCACTCGACCAGCACCAGCAGCATGTCCACCGTGGCCGGGTTGGGCTCTTCGCCGCCGCTGTCGCCGCCGCCCTCGCAGCGTCCCTCCTCCTCGACCACGCCGTCGCTGAGCCCGGCCACGCCGTTGCCCCCGGCCCTGGGCGGCGGGGGGACCGCCACCGGTGGGTCCCTCACCCCGCCGGCCACCGAGGCCTCCAGCCCGCAGGCCGGCCCGGTGGACGCGGACTTCCCCACCACGCCCGTTCCCCCGCGGTTGAGCATTTCCATCACACCGAGCCTGCTCCTCGGCCAGTTCCAGATCCACTTCAACGAGTACACCGGCACCAAGGTCCTGCGCGAGCAGTTCCAGCCGTCGCGTGGTACGCACACACGCACGCGCACACGCACACGCGCACACGCACACGCACACGCGCCCGCCCGCCCGCTCGTCTGCCTGCCTCATTTGTTGCTCACACCCATGCGCACACGCATCCCTGGGCCCCGCAGACACCCGATACATTCTTGGTCTGCACTCGACCGTTGGGCCCATTTTGCTGGCCGTTGGCACCGACAGCCTGGTGTCCGGCCGGCGGGACTCCCTGGCCACCAGCTCCTCGCTGTCTGGCTCGCAGTCGAGCATCTCCTCGGCCGGGCTGGCCTCCCCCTCGACCCCGGTGTCGGCCAATGCCGGCGGTGGGCCCATCTACTCCGCTTCGACTGGCCAGCTGCTGGTGACCAGCTCCCCCTCGAGCGACGCCCTGGCCGGGCTGAATCTCTCTCGGCCGGCGTCCTTCCTGCGCATTCTCCTCCA